ATAAATTTTTTTTTTTTTTTTTTTTTTTTTTAGTAAAAGATTTACTCCATTATGACAACTTTATTAAGCAAGAAAATAAAAATAAAAGAATTAAAATAACTTTTAAAAAAAAAAGAAACACCTTTTTATGTATAACTATTAATTTTAAATATATATAAAAAAAAATATTTTATAGCACGTATAAAACGAATTATGCTATACTAAAATGTGTATTAATCAAAATAATATTTTTTTTATTTATTATAGATTCTATTAAAATATAATGAATTTAAAAAAAAAAAAAAAATAGTGATAAAGTATATTGGATTAATTTAAAAAAATTGAGAATAAAAAAAATATGTTTATGAAGAAAAAATGAAATTAAAAGATGAGTTTTTATGCTTTTATTATATTTTTAACAATATATTATACATATAATATTGGTTATTCTTTTAAATTAAAACTAAAAACCAGTATTACATTTTTAAATGGATACAAAAAAAATACTCTAAAAAAAAGCTCAAAACTTTATAACAATGTAATAAATTATAATTAACATATTTACATACATTTTATATATGAACGTATTTTTCTATAAACATCAATTTTGTAATAGAGAACCAAAGATACATTAATTATTACTCTTTTTTTTTTTTTTTTTTTATTTTTAAAGTTAGAAAAAGTTAATAATGATTTAAAAAAAGAAGATATAATAAAAAAATGGAGTGATAATTATCATTTGAGAATTATATTAAATTCATATTTTTCTGATCATTTACAAAAGGCAGTTTTAAATGTAAAAGAAAAAATAAATCAATATCCCCAGTTTAATATTGTTGGTCCAATTCCTCAAAAGACAATAAAAAAGAGGTTATAACTATTGGACTATTATATTCTTTAATTTTATTAAAATTATTTATACAAAACATATATATATATATATATATATATATTTAATTCTTTATTCTTTTTAAATACAGATTTACTTTTTTAAGATCACCACATGTTGATAAAGACAGTAGAGAACAATTTGAAATAAGACAATATGGTTGTAAACTAGATATTTACTTAAATTCTTCCATTAGTTTGAAGAATTCAGAATGTATAATTCATCAAAAAAATATATATAATACTATATGAGTTTAAAAACAAAAGAATACAAATGAGAAATCATTTTTTAATTTTTTGTTTTTTTTTTTTTTTTCTCTTAGTCGTAAGTTTTTTATCAGTTAAACTACCAAGATTTGTCGGTTTTGAATATTATTTTGAAGAAAATTATAAAGGACTAACAAAAAAAGAAATTAATAGTTTAAAAAAAAAAAAGTATGTCAACAAATATTATAAAAATTTATTTGATTCGACGGAAAAAAAGAAGTATGTAGATTTATTATTAGAAAATTCAAAATATATGAACGTGAAATTACCAAGAAACTTTTATGATTTATATAAATATCCATTAGATATATTACGCCACTTCTATAAAAAGTAAAAACATTTAGTTTATTATCTTAAATATATTATTAAAAACAATTTATTAAATTTTAATAAGAATTATATATATAAGAAAAATATTAGGAAATTATTATTCTGTTTTAATAATTTTTTTTTTTTTTGTAGAACAATGGAAAAAAAGAAATGGTACCATGAAAATGAAGAATTAATGAAAAAAATAGAATCTCTTTCTTTTGATTAAGTTAATATTAAAAAAAATTAGATATTAATTTTTCATTTTATTAGTATTTTTTTTATTTTTATTATAATATATATATATATATATATATATTTTTTTTTTTTTTTTTTTTTTTTTTTTTTGTATTAAAAATATTAAAAATAAGAATTTTTATACACAAAAATACAATTATATTTTACCAATGTGCTATGTTCTATTTTTAAAATAAAAATAAATAAAAAATATATCACATATATTTTATCCTTTTTTAGTTTATTTTATTTATTAAGATCTTTTTTTTTTTTTTTTTTTATATATCTTATTTTTATTGTTATTTTTAAATATTTATGTAAACTTTTCACCTATTTGTTTTTCTGTGGATTTTCCAAAATACTGTAGAATTGTGATTAAATGTAAAAAAAAAAAATTTTTTTTTTTTTTTTTTGCATTTTAAAAAAATGAACTATGATATTAGTACAAATTACAATTTTTCTGTTAAAAATGTAAATTTTTTTAAAAATGCATTATCTTTGTTAAATGTTGATGATAATAAATATAACTCAAATTTTAAAAAAGGTACAGATAATTTCCTTGAAGGAGAAAATTTAATTTTATTTAATTTGTATTATGATGGTATTAAACTTAGAAGTTTATCAAAATGTAAACAAATATATTGTTTTTTATATATGGATTCTAACTGTTTTACTAGTTATAATTTTTTTGAAAAAGAAGAAGATGAAAAAAAATACGAAGTCGAATATAATAAATATGAAACAAACAGTGTTAATTCAGATAATTTATTTACTACACATGTTATTGATGATGAAAGGGAAGATGTGGTTAAACTAAAAACAGTGTCTCCTTTAAAAATGAATTCTGTTCAAAAAAGTGAAAATGAGGACGAATATAACATAAGAAAAAAGATATACACTGATGTAGATGAAAAAAAAAACTATATTGAATTTCTTGTCTCACCGTATGAATTATTAAGAGCCTTAGAGTTTTTGGATGCAGTAATATTAAATATTAAATTCGATTATTCTAATAAAAAATTAATTTTGCAATTAACTGATGAAGATGGTGATACATCTGAAACATTTATCAAAATTATTGTAGACTATTATTATGAAATATATAAATTAGAAAAATACAGTTTTTTAAATAACAATTATAATTATTTTTCTCTACAATCCGAGATATTCTCCTTTTATCTAGAATATTTAATTAAATGCAATGATCAATACATTACATTTTACATAAATGAATATGCAAATGATAACACTTCTATACTTAAAATGGTAAAAAAAAAAATAAAAAAATTTTAAAGTTAATTCTTAAAATAATCTAAAATGGATCTTTCTTTTTTTTTTTTTTAAACCTTATATATTTTTATATATTTAATAATGATTATTTAGGAAACAAAAAATAAAAATTATGAAAGAGCTGTTCAACTTATGCCAAAGGAGACTTTTGATGAATTTAAAAGTTTAAAAAATCAAATGTATTGAATATATACATATATATATATATGTATACATATAAATTAAAATATTTCTTTTTTTTTTTTTTTTTTTGTAGGTTTAAATATAGGATAAAAGATTTATCAAAAATTAATCAAGCACTAAGTAATAAATATTAAATATTATTTATATTCTAAAAAAAAAAAAAAAATTTAGTATATTTTAAAATCTCTAAGTTATAAGATGCATATATATATATATATATAGTTTTAAACTTATTCATAAATTTTAATAGAAATAAGTTCTCACCTTAGAATGGATTTTCAAGAAAATGGATTATTAAGGTTTCAATTCACCTTAAGGTAAATAAAGAAAAAAATATTTATATATATATATATTTTATTATATTATTTATTAAATGATTATGAGTTTTATTATTAATACAATTTTATGTAATTAAAAAGTTATTTTTAAACTGTCTTTTTTAACTTTTATAGAGAATATAATTTGAACGGAACTCATTTATGCTATTTTATACAACCATTACCTGATTTTAATACTTTAAATGGGAATGAAGTTTAAAAATGAAAAAAAAAAATTCATTTTAATGTACTTTTGTAAATTTAGCATATTATTAAATATAAGAGATCTTATGTTCTCTTTAAAAATTGATTAAAAAAAAAAATATAAAATTTTAATTTTGTAAAAGATATGAATATATATAAGGAATTGTATTGTTTAATATAAAAATAAAATTTAAGCAAATAAATTGAAATATTAATATTTACAATTATTTTTTGAAAAGATTAATTTTAGTATGTACATTATAAATATGTACAAAATTTTATTTTCCTCCTTTATATTTTTGAACATATAAAAAAAATTATCTTTTTATGTGTTTTATTTAATTTTTTTTTTTTTTTTTTTTTTTACATATTGAAAGAAGTAAAATATTCATTATCTACCAAAAAGTATATATTAGATATTGTAACCTTTTTTTTTTTTTTTCTTTTTTTTAGCTTAAAATATTTTTTTGGATTTTTTTTTTTTTTTTTGTTTATTCTATACTTCTTTTTATTTTTTATTTGAAAAGTTAATTTTTGAAAATATGTTCCATAAATCAAAAAATGAATGAAAATAATAACATATCTGATGTATACGAAAAGAATCTTTTATTAGGTATTAAACTTGATGTGTAATTTTATTAATTCATATTTATAAAAGTTATTTCATTTTAATATTTTTCTGTTTTTTTATATTTTTATAGCTTCTATTCGAAGAGAAGCAAAAGAAAATATGGAAATTAGCGATTTAAAAAAATTTAAAAGAGATATTTTTGATAGTAATGATTTTATTATATATATTGAATTGAAATTTGAAAATTTGATTATATCAAGATATTTATTTGAAATAAGGTAATAGAAAGGAATAAAATAATAATAGTAATATAGCTAATAATTCCAAAATTAAGAAAATTATGATAATATCAATTATTGCATCCATATTTTCCTTTTACTAATGTTATTTTGTGTAATTTAAAATTATTTTTATTTTTTTTTTCTTTTAATTTATATTTTGGTTTTATTTCATTTTTAAAATTATTCAAGTTTATTTTAAAATACTTTATATCTTTTACATTTTTTTCCTTTTTTTTTAGTAAAGAATTTAATACTCCTATTCGAAATAGTGTACAAATAACAAGATTTATAATTATTAAAAGTAAAAACAAAATTATGGGAACCTGTGTTCCTAATGCTATAATATTATGCTATAAAAATGATAAAGATAGTAATATTATTTTAAATAATATAATAAAAGAGTTAGAAAAAAACTATTATATTTATTTAAAATTAGAAGAATTTATAGAAAATACTTCTGATAAAATTGAGAAATATTTATTGTCATATATAATTCAGTTTACTTTAGTTTGTAAATATCTAGAAAGTGGAAAATGGTTTCATGTATGGGATAGCATGGATACTATAATTGAATCCAAATTTTGTGGTAATAATAGTTGCAAATATTTTAATTGTATTGGTTTTAAATTTAATGTATTAAATAATGATTACAATGTATTAAATGAAACTAAAAGCAACATACACATTATTAAAATGTATTTAAAAGTTACCATAAATATTTATAAAATATTACCACTTGATAATATATGCGAAAATATGAATGTTTACTGCTTACCTCGTTGTTCAATGCAAGCAACTATCTTAAATATTTTAGATTCATCAAATAATGAGAATTTTAACTATAGAGATTATTGGTTAGATATACATGGGTATGTTCTTAATGAAGCTTCTATAGAAAAAATAGTAAGAGTTAAATTATATAAAGGTGTATTTAATTACCCAATTGGGGTTTTATTAAGAGATAATATTTATAAAATAAAAGTACCTATTAAAAAGGATCATTTTTTTTATATATGTGAATTTTTAAATAAATTTGAATTATTAAAAAATAGTAAAATTAATTTATTAAAATTTTCAGAAAATTTAAAATTTGACAATATATATAATGATTTAAATTGTGATCATATAAAACTAAAGAATATGGAGAATGAAGATTTTTTTAATAAAATAAAATTATTATGTAATAATGAATTTGACGAAAAATTTATAGATGAAATATCAAATGAAGGTAAACAAGTTAATTTATATAATAATGGATATAATATATATTGTAATACTTTAAGCAATTCAATGAAATCTATAAATTTAAATTTTTCAAATGATAATAAAATAAACAAATGTAATACATCCAATCCAGATAAAACCATAGATATTTTTTTAAAAGAATCTGCATTAAACTATATTGCTGCAGATAACAGGGAAAATGAACACAATATTTTGAACAAAAATGAAGATGATAAGGATGATAATTCAAAAAATACTTATGACAACTGTAAAGGTGATATCAAAAACAAAAATGCTCAAAATATTTATAATTCGGAGAAAAAAAATTTTAGTAGTACCAAAGATATAGATTGTCAAAAAAAAAATAATAACTTAGACAAATTCTTAAAAGATGTTACAAGTAATTTGAAATTTCCAAATAATAATAATATGAAGGATATTGATTTTTTTGAAAATGTTAATCCTGATATAATATTTTCAAAAGATTTTCAAAATTTTCTTGATAATTTAGAAGAAATTCCACCATCAGAGGAAAAACTAAAAAAAATTGATTTTAATGAAAGAGACAAAAAAAGACCTAATTTTTCTATAAATAGCCAATTAAATAATGAAAATAATGATAATAATAAAAAATATTTGAATGCAAGTCATCAAGTTTTCAACACTTCGAAATATGGTATTAATAATAGTGATTATGTAAAAAATAATAATAATGAATATAAGATAATTCCTCTTAAAAAGGAACTAGTTGAAATTAATAGTTCACAAAATAATAAAACAATCAGTTGTGTAAAAAATAAAAATACAAACATAAGAAAAAACCAAAATTTATTTAAGTCTAATCAAGAAAAAGAAAAGAATTTTTTTGATAAATACAATGAAAATAATCATATGCATTCTTCCGATAATTTAAATGAAAAAAGTAATTCTCTTAATTTAAAAGAAATACAAAATATGAAAAAAAAAAATCACATAAAAGATAGAATAAATGAAGAATCTTGGGAGCAAAAAAAAGAATATATTATTACAAAAAAAAAAAAGATATAAACAAAAAACATGTAAATATATTCAAAGGAAAAAATGAAAAAAAAGTTCAAAACAAAATAAGATAAATATATATATATATTTATAAATGGGTCTTTTTTATGAAAAAGTTTTTTTTAATAAATTTAAGATAAATAGAAAAAATTACTATCCATAATACAAAAATAAGAATAAATTAAAAAAATACTAGTTAAATGTATATAAATATATATGAAATATATGTGATAATTTTCTTTTCGTTTTTATATTTTTTTTTTTGTGAGTATTAAAACTTCAGTTTTTTTTTTTTTTTTTTTCTTTTTTCCTTTTTGATTTTAAGTTACATTTTTGCATTTTCATTTTAATAATGATTCTTTATATATATTTTTTTTTAGTTTAAAATTTTTTTTTTTTTTTTTTTTTTTTTGTATTGAAAACTCAAATTATATATGTAATTAAGAAATAAATTAATATATGTATATGTAAAAAAAATGCTTTTAAATGAAACATTAATTAAAATTTTAATAAAATATATAAATTTTAAATTGATAAAATATAAATCATAAATAAGAGTAAATATTTTCTTTTTTGTTAAAATTTATTTGTTGTTCTTTCATAAATTATGATCAGGAATAAATATAACTTAGAAATATATAATTTTTATTTTAAAATTTTTAATGAATATATAAATACGAACATTTTAAAAAAAATAACATATTTGTTCTTAATTTTTTTTTCCTGAAATAATTATGAAATAATTATTTAAATGTAATAATATTTATTTTTATATTTATTATTAAAATAAAATAAATAAAAAATTATATATTCGTATTTTTTTTTATTTTTTTTACATATAGTAACTTTTCTGTTTAATCCATATGAAGAAATATTTTGAAATTTTCTTTAATTAAAAATTGCTTTTGTAGAATAATATTAATTTCTAAAAATGAGAAAATTGAAATATCATGAGCAGAAATTATTAAAAAAAGTAAATTTGTATGATTGGAAAAGAACAAGAAATATAAGAGAAGTAAAAATTTTGAGAAAATACGTAATTCAAAATAGAGAGGATTATACAAAATATAATAAAATATGTGGTTATATAACAAAATTAGTTTCAAAATTAAGATTATTACCAGAAAATGATGAGTTTAGAATTAAAATGACTGATGAATTATTAGATAAATTATACGATATGGGTTTAATAAATTACAAGTCTAGTTTAGCTGAGTGTGAAAAAATCTCTGTTTCATCTTTTTGTCGAAGAAGATTAGCAGTTATGTTATTCAGGTTAAAATTTGTTCAAACTATACAGCTAGCTATAACATATATTCAACATGGTAATATAAGAGTTGGTAATAATGTAATTAATAATCCATCTTTTCATATAAATAGAAATTTAGAAGATCATATAAAATGGGCAGATGGTTCTAAGATAATTAAACATATACAAAAACATCAAGAAAATAAAGATGATTATGAACTTCTTGGAAATTAGATAAAACATAAGAAGAAATTTTTTATTTAAAAAAAAAAAAAAAATCCATATATAAGTAAAAATAAAGTTTATATAAATAAAAATTAAAAAAAATATATATTGTGTATAACATAAATATTTGATATTGAAAATAACATAATTTTTAATATTAAATATTGTAATAAATTAAAAAAACAATACTTTTAAAAAGCATTATTTTAATAAATAATTACTGTTTGTGTAATCTTAACATTATTATTTACTTATTATAATAAAAAAAGAAAAAAAAATTAATTATAATAAAATAATATAAAATATTTGCCTTAATTATTTTATAACTCTATCATATTTTTATGATACATTTTTATTAATTTACCTATTTTTTTTTTTTTTTTTTTTTTTTTTTTTTTTTTGTTTACTAAATTTTATACTTCATATAATTTTACATTTGTCCTTTTTAAAATTATTTTTGTAATTAAAATTTTTTCTTCAAATGCTTTATTTTTAAAAGTGTATAATTTATAATATTTTAACATATAAAAAATCTTTAATTTTGTACATATTAAATAAATTAAAATATTATTTATTTTTCTTCTATCCACATTTTTAATAAATATATTACAATTATCTAATTATAAAAGAAAAAAAATATATTTTTCTAAATATTAAAATGCCAAAATGTCTAGTAACATATATGTGAATTTATTATATTTTTTATATATACACGTTATTTATTAAAAGTAATTAATATATACATATATATCTATAATATTAATTTAATGAATTTTACTTTTTTTTTTTTTTTTTTTCAATTTCTTACAATAAGAAATTTCTTACTTTTATTAATGTTTCAATAAAATTACAAAAAAATATAAACCTATTTAAATAATAATCGTATTTTAAATTAGTATCTAAAATGTTTGTCATATTAGTTAATAATATATCTTTTTGACATTTATATGTATAATAAGCCAAAAATAAAAAAAAAATATCAACAATGGATAACAGTATTAATGTGTATGAATAATATTTTAAGTATAACTTCTTTTTTAGAAAATAATAATGAGAATTTTTTTTTCTTGAATAAATTATTTCACAAATTAAAATGTATCCATAGAAGTAAAAAATTAAATTATAATCGCACCTCACTATGCAAATAATACTGCTAATTAAAATAAGCAAAAAATGTAATAAAGTTATAAAATCAAAGAAAAATTTTTCCTTTATTAAATCATTTTTAAGAAAATAATTACGATTTTTTTTTTTTTTTTCCCTTTTATAAAATAAATATTTTAAAAATCTTAAAAATCTAAAAATTTTTTTTGATATTTTTATTTTTTCACAACTTAATTTTTTTCTTTCAATTTTTGAATATGTTGATTCATTCAAAAATTGTTCATCACTGTTTACACAACTTAATAAGTTTTTTTCATAACTTTTAAATACTAATGAATATGAATTCATGTCTTGAAAGGCAACAATTTATCTTCTTTATTTTTAGTAAGAAAATAAAATAAATTTTCCTTTAGATTAAAAGTTTTGAAATATATATAATATTTCTATTAATGATTATTTTATAGTAAAAATTATTAGAAGTTCATATGAGATTAATATAACTTCTTTATATTTAATAACAAAAAAAAAAAAAAAAAAATAAAATAAATTATATATTTTTAAATACAATTTATATATTTAAATCATCTAAAACGGAAAAATAATTATTTTATTTTTACGCTTATTAAAAACATAACAATATATATATTAAACATATAAAAAAAAAAACTAAATACAAAGACTATAATTTTCCTTTTTTCTTCATTTTCTTTTTTATACCACTTGAATCACTTAATATTGGCATTATAAAAAAAAAAAATCATAGAAAATATTTTTCAAAACATAAAAAAAAAAAAAAAAAAAGAATGAAAAAAAGATATATTAAGGAAAAGAACAATCTGAATTTTATATAAAACAATTAAATAATTTTTTTTTTTTTTTTTAATAAATATAAAAAATAAAATTTGTTTCGCATGATTTATTTTTATGACATTTATACCCGTTTTAAAAAAAAAAAAAAAAAAAAAAAAACCAAAAAAAAAAATAAAATTTAAAAAAAAAAAAAATATAAATATATGCATATATTTTTATGTATGTACAAAAAAGAAAAACTTTTTTAAAAATATATATATATATATTTAAAAAACTCATTTAAAAATAATATATAAATTATAAATTTAAAAATTGAAAATAATAAAATGCAATAAAAACATATTTCAAAAATATACTTAGTGAATAATATTTTTCATAAATAAAAAAATTTTAAATAAAAAAAATCCTTGTTTTACAAATTTAATATTTAAACATATTCAATTCATATATATATCATTTATTATTAACATAAAATAAAAATGGAGAAATCAAAATTAGCAAAAGTTGAAAAAGTTTTAGGAAGAACAGGAAGTAGAGGAAGTGTTATACAAGTCAGAGCACAATTTATGGGGGATACTGAATTATCAGGAAGATTTTTAATTAGAAATGTTAAAGGGCCAGTTAGAGAAGGAGATATTTTAGCTTTACTTGAAACAGAAAGAGAAGCAAGAAGATTACGTTAATTTATTTTATTTTTTCTATATTTATACTTCAAAATTATAACAATAAAAAAAAAAATAAAATAATAATAGAATGATAAAATATATGAAAGAAACAAGTAAAAGGAAAATAAAATATACGGAATTCTACATGAATAAATTATTAATCTAAAGAATAAAATAAAGTTAATTTGTTTATATTAAAATGCTTTTATTTATTTATATTCTTTATTATATTACTTATATTATCTTTTATATTTTTTTTTTTTTTTTTATATACATATGATTAATCTATCTTTTAAACCTATTTTTTTATAATTCATTTATTTTTAAATATATAAGGAGATATATTTTTTTATTTATACATGTAAAAAAATTAACTCTTATAGTTAAAACCTTTTTTATAAATTGAGAGTAACTGAAGGAGAATAATGTATAAATAATTTTTTTTTTTTTATATTAAAAAGGAAAACATTTGTTGTATGTTCCTATTGTAATTTTCAATATATATTATAATTTAAGGAAAATCAAATTAAGCCAACTATGAAACTTTACTTTTTATGTAAAAAAAAAAAAAAAATTCTTTTTTCATAAAAAAAATAATAATATACAATTAAAATTGTTTTTATGCTATTTTTGTGAAATACTAAAACAAAAAAAAAAACAAAAAAAAAACAAAAAAAACGAAAAAAATAAAAACCATCCCCCCAAAAAAAAAATAAGAAAAAAGACAGAAATTATTCAAAACATTAATTGTTTTATCACATTCTTGGTAAAGATTCTTTTTTATCTTTAGATTTTTTTATTTGAATTCTAAGTTTAGCTTTATTTCTTTGTTCGATCTAAAAAAAATTATATATATATATATATATATGTATATATTTTAAAACATTAAGTTAATATTTAAGTGATAAAAAAATATTTTAAAGTTTACTAAGAGTAGAAATTTGCTATGTATATTAGCACATACCTCATAAATTTTTTTATAACATTCAGGATTTGAAAAAATAGTGGTATTAATAACAGATTCTTCCATAATTTCTTTTACATTCAATTTTTCCTTAATTTTATCAATAATCTTAACATATTTTCCGTTATCAAATAAAACTATAAAAAATATTTTTGCATAGTAAAAGATAAGGATATAATATGTATTAAAAAAAAAAATATTTATTGTAATAATAAGAATTATATGTTTGATACCTCTTACTTGATTTCCTTGAGGACTAATTTCTAATATTTCTCCATGTAAATTATTATTCACAAATTTTCCACGTAATATCCTTCCATCTACATTTATAATTTGCCCATTTCCATGCTTTTTTCCTTCAATATAATCACCTTCATAAATTTGATAAGAGGAGTTATTATTCCATTTATAATAACCTTTTCCGTGAAATAATCCATTTTTAAAATTCCCAACATATAAATCTCCATTTTTAAATTCATATCTTCCATTTCCTTCTAAATTTCCATCTTTTATATATCCCCAAGCATGGTCTCCATTAGAAAAAAAAAATTCTGCTTCTCCTTTTTCTACGTCATCTTCAAAAGTACATATATATTTTGTTTTTTCGGGAGTTGTAATTGTTCCTTTCCCTTGCTTTTTATTATTATTAAAACATCCTTCAAATATTAAACCATCATGTGTTTTATAAATTCCTTCTCCATGCTTTTTGTCATTTTTCCAAAACCCATCATAGCTATTTCCCTCTTTATCAGACCATATTCCCTTACCTTCTTTTTTTCCTTCAACAAATTCACCTTCATATATATCTCCATTTGCATATCTTAAAATACCCCTTCCATGAAGCTTATCATCCTACGTGTATACAAATAAAGTTAAATGAAATAATAGATTAACATTTAACTTATAAAAATTATATAACTTTTTTTTAAAATATATAATATAAACAAAAATTTTCTATATTTCTAAAATTCTTTTTTTCTTTTTTTTTTTTTTTTTTTCAATATTAATTTATAATATATATACTAGAGTAGTGCCTGTATAAACAGATCCATCATTTAATGTAACAGTAGACACTGGAATATCGTCATGATTGTCACTTTTTATATTGCTGTCATTTTGTGTGTGTTCAAGTGTTTTTTTTTCTGGTATTTCTACTTTTATAGAATTTTTCGAGCAACAACTCATTTTAAGTTTTTTAAAAAAAAAAAAAAGGTAAAAAAAAAAAAAAAAAAAAAAAATAACTAGGTAAAATCAATAAGATATAAATTTGTCATACTTTTAAATTATAAAAAAAGTTTTTAAAAAAATCAAAATTTTAAGTAATATTAATTAATTACACACTAAACGAAAAACAATTAACTTCCCTCTTAATTTTTATTTGTGAAATTTTAGAAATCAAAAAACATTAATTATCAAATTCTATATAAAGAAAAATCATACATATTTTAGGAAATTACTATCTAATATTACAAAAAAAAAAATTTATAAAAAGTTCTAAAACTTATGAAAAAAAAAAAAAAAATATATATATATATATAATATAAATATTCTGTACGTAAAATTTTAATTTCATTTTAATTAATTTTTTTTTTAAGTGTTTTCATATAAATATTAACCAAATAATATATTTTGTAATTAAAAAAAAATTCTGAAAAGAAAATATATTAAATGTGATAGTGTTATTTAAAGAAGTTATAGAAATAGAGAAAAAATAGCAAAAAAAAATCATGTGGATTTTATGTATCTTATTTATATTTTCATTACAACTTTTCATTTTAATGAAAAAGACAATTTATTTATTATCGTATATTAAATTTTTCATATTTTTTAATTTTAAAATGTACCTTTCATACTTTAATAAAAAACATTTGTTATTTATATATAAACGAAATTTTTTTTTTATATTTTAGATTTTAATTTTATGGAAAAAATTAAAAAGTACTTATATACTAAATTTAATATTTTTACATTCTTTAAAATATATAATTTTGGTTTTTAAAAAAAACATTCTTCTTTTATTAAGTATATCAGGTTTATATTATATCTTTTTTATAAATAGTATTAAAACTTTATATATATTTCATGTTTTATATATATAAATAAAGTATTGTAATTGTAGGTTTATAATACAAATAATAAAATAAAAAATTATACAGCACTACTGTTTGAAGCTATTTTTAATTCCAATTATGAAATATATCTTTTCTAAAGTGAAAAATAAAATATAATATTTGCATATATATATATATATATATTCATATATTTTATACATGTAAATTTAAAATTATATTTTTATTTTTAAATTAATATATTACACTCCTAATAATCTATCAACTATTTCTCCTGGTTTATCAGTTTTATTTTGAATCCACTGCTTAACTATAAAAATATTGTTATTCCATCTTTCATGTTTAAAAAAAAAAAAAAAAAAAAAGGTAAATATTATGAATAAATGATAACATATATATTTGTTATAGTCATTATATTAATAAAAAATTAAGAATAAAATTAAGAACAATTTTTAGTCTTAGTAATTATATGGAGAACAAAATTAATAATATGATGTTATTTTCTCACCTCTCTATAGATTCGATAGCACACTTATTTTGAATTTGCATTTTTTCAATCTGTTTTATATCTGTTTTTTTTAAGTTTTTCAATTCTATTTTTTTTTTATCCAGCAATTGTATCAGTTCTTTGACTTCTCCTATTTTACTTTTTAATTCATCCTATTACGTAGGTAGATATATAATTTCAAAAACTTAGAATAACTACATATTAAGAATAAAAATGAAAAAAAAAAAAAAAAAAATGAATATTTACTTCGGAAAATTTTAAAGTATCAAATAATTTATCATATATATCTTTTTCCGTTTTTATAATTTCTTCATATTCTTCTTTTTTTTCTCTTTAGAAAAATAAAAAAAAAAAAAAAAAAAAAAAAGATTATATTTATTAGAATACATTAAATAACATAATCGAATAAAAATTGTAAGTACTTCAACTTCTGATATTCATTCTCTAAATTTGAAGATTCTTCGGTTTTGAGAACCCTTATATATAATAATTATATGAAAAAAAAATTTATAACAAATGATAGAAAATTTTTATTTTTCAACTTTTTTTTTTTTAACCAGAAAATGTTTTGTAAACCAACTTTCTCAGACTTAACTTTATTATCATCAACTAGTTGTTGAAGTAAATCTACATTTGTTAAAAAATTTTAATTTTTCAAATTATTCCAATAAAAAAATTAACATATATTTATGAATATATAATATTTTTCATATTAACCCTTAACAAAAATAGAACGAATTCCTTTTTTCTGTGATAACACTTCTAATTCCTTTAAAATGAAAAATGATTCACTCTGTAGCATAAGATCATATAAAATTAATTTTTTATCATCATTACTTTTTCCTTTTCTTTTCATTATTTCTTTATTATATTCAATGTAATACTCTTCAAATTAAATATAAATAATTCTTTTTATTACAACTATATTTTTATATTTTGATACTTCTGTTTACTTTTTCACATATTATTGTATTACAAAATTAATATTAACATGCTCTTTATTATAGACTTTTGAACTTTGTTTTCTTCATTTTAAATGTAGTTACATAAAATAAATATAATTATTTGTAAAAACATTTTTGAACATTTCATATTAATAATACACACAATGTTAGAAAAACAAAATTTTTCCAAAATAAAAAATATATAAAAAATATTTCAGTTATTAATTAGGATATTTTATGAATTGCATAAAAATGTTGATATTAAAATAACCTCGTTAACAAGAAGGGAAAGAGAGAAAATTGTTTAATTTTTTTATTACATATATATATATATATATATATTTTTTTAATTAATATAATAACATTTCAAAAAGTATACAATAAACATCTATCTTTTTGAAATAAAAAAAAAAGTTATAAAGGAAAGAAATATTTATTTATCAAAAATGGTATAAAATATGTATTTTACTTTTAAAAATTTAGAAAAAAGAAATTCAAAAATTTCTTTAATAGTTTCAAAAAAAAAAAAAAAATGTATTTATTTGCATTACAAATTATATGTACATTTAATTTAGTTGTATATATATATATATTTTATTTTTTTCTTTATATTTGTTTAAAATTTGAAGTATTTTTTTTTCTTTTTCTTCTTTTCATCCTTTTTGGTTTTTTTTGAATTGTCTACTTGTGCAGACACAAGTTTTACTTTATTTGATATTTCCTCAAATTTATTTAGTTCTTTTTTTATATCTTCTACATTTGAATTATTAGGATTATCATAAGAACTTTTCGATAGTTCATTTTGTATAAATGGAGTATTTATTCCACTAGTCGTATAAGGAGTCAGAATACCTTCTGATACATTCGACAGTTTATTATTTATATTAGGTACAGATGGATTTATTTTATATTTAATATTTGAAGAAAACAAATTATTTTGGGAAATTGGAATTTCTTCTTTTTGTAAAATTGTATACGGTTTCATATTTTGTGTATTCATATAATTATTATTGTACACATATTTAGGTGTTTCATAACCAGAAATAAATGAAGTTAAATCAACTGATGCTAAACCACTCTCCATATATGGAGTATATACCCCATTTAATTTTGAATTAGTAACAACACTATAAATTCCACTAGAATAATTATTTTTTAATAAATCTTCATTTTGATTCTCATTTAAATCTATATTTATGTTTTCTGAGTCCATATTTTCATTTTTTTCTTTTTCATTTATATCTTCAGATTTCTTTGTTTCTTCATTTTCTTCTCCTTTCTCTTCTTTGTCTTCTTCCTCTTCCGAATCTTCATATTTTTCATCAATTTCACCCCATAAAAAATCATCAGCATATCTATTGTTGCTGTTATTCATATTACTGGATAAAAAGTTTCCATATACAATACCTTCTGATTCATCAAATTTCTCATTTCGCAATTTATTACTATCCTCTGATTGTAATTTATTGCCACTTGAATTTTCATGAGGTAAGCAATTCAAACCAGGAATATTTAAATAAGGAAAAGAAGGGGGTAAACCATATTTTTGCATATTATATAACCATGGTAATGGTTCATTAGGTTCTATATTTAAAGCTTTTCTTAATTTTTCAGAAATTATGCCTGGACGAAATTTTTTTGTTTTTAATTCAAATTCTTTCCCTTCATAATAAATATCTGCAAATTTTACTAATTTCGGTTTTGTTGCATATTTAAAAAAAGCATCATGCAATGTTTGATAATCTATATCCATAGTATGTAATTTTGGTCTTACACGATCACGCATTTTTTGTTTTAAAGATTTCTGTTCTTCTTTTTCTTTTATGGATTGTCTTATTTCACTTATTTTCGTATCTTCTATATATGGTGGTAATCTATAAGGAATTTTTTCAATTCCTCTTTTTCCATGCATATATTTTCTTTTTTGACACCAGTGCTGAGGAACTGGAACGGAATTTTTTAGACATTTTAACCAAACAAAAAAAAAGGGATCATTTGCTGTGGTATCCCATACTTCTACGAGTTCAGGTTTTTTAGCAAATTCTTTTAATTTCATTACTGATGGTCTATTTAATAATTTTAAAGCTTTTTTAGAAATATTTTCTTTATTTATTTTAGTTCCTTCTTCTTCATCATCTTCATCTGAATATGTATCATCAAGAATTACATTTTTTTCATCATCTACATCATTTTCTTTCTCTGTATTAACTTCCTTATTAACTTTAAATTTTTTATATACATCTTCAAAATTTTTAAAAAGCTCTTCATCTATTTCTAAATAAAATAAAATATATATATATATATAATACACTTCTTAATAAAAAGAAATAATTTAAAGGATAACTAATAAAGTATGAACTATTTTAAATACAAAAACAAAATAAAGAAGAAAAAAAAAATTTAAGTATAAAAATGTTATAAATTTTAAATAAATGTCTAAAAATAGATTTATGATTTATATTATCTATAGGATAATGCTAAAAATATAAAACAGCAACAACAAATATATATGTTAAATAAAAATATTTTTTATAAATAATATTTATTTATAAATATAATTGTATTCGCATATAATATTCATATTTTCTTTATTAAAATAAAAATTATTATTTTATATCGTAATTAAATATAAAATTATTTATTATTATTTATATATATACTTTTTTTTCTACATACCTTCTTCTACATATTCTATATAGTTTTCATTATTTAAATTACTTAATAACTTTTTATTTTCACTTAAATTATTTAACTTATCAAACTTTTCTTCTTTTTTTTTCTCCTTTGCAACTTTTTTTTTCTATAAAAAAATATATTAGTATTCATTAAATGATATTATGCTTTTGATTTATTTAATATATATTTCTAATCTTAGAATTATTAATAATTATATATAATATTAAAAAAAAATATAAATTATTAAAATTTGCTAATATAAAATTTTTTATTTACTAATTTTTTTCTAAAGTTTTTAGCCTTCTTTGGGTTAGTTTTCCTTAGTTCTTTTAACTTGTTGAGATCAATTAAATTTGGCATAGCCATTATCTACTATAATTTTTTATACTTTTTATACTTTTTTTTTTTTTTTTCTTTTGTTAATTTTTTCTAT